GCCAATATTCTCTCTACGTGGATCAACTTTCGAGGCCTATGGTCTACGGCTGCTTCCCAAGCATTAAATTGCGGACTGCAAAGCACACGGTGCGTTTTGATCTGTTCAAAAGAATGTTGCTTCTGTGGAAATTGTTTTTAATCGAAGCAACCCAAACGCAATACAGTAGGCCTGTTGTCGTTAATGCACAGAATGACCATTGAACAGTTCACGTTCTCTTTTCTATGGCCTAATATATAAGTAGCTTGTTATGTATACTAAGTATGGTAATTTTTATCTAAACCTTTGCCTCTACTAGAAGAATTCTGTTGATAACAAACACACGTTTTGGGTTTTCAAGTAGATTCTGTAGATTCGACCCTAGAGACTTTACCCTTTGAATAATATCAAGAGCCATAATGGGATTCTCTTGATAATATCTGTTGAGCACATCCTGAAGTGCTGTCTTGGAATTATCGACGACATATTAAAAGACGAGCAAATCGAGATGCATAAATTTCAAACGGAATGCTGAATCGTTTAAGAGTAGCCGGCGAATATGAAATCATCATACACTGCAGCTGTTGTCTTGAATTGAGGGGTACTAGTAGCTGATGGATCTTGTAAAGTTTATCTCATTATGTTAAAAAATGAAGGCGGGTCCGGTTTTAGAAGTTCTAACTCAAATGCGATGTTTGTTCTGTAAACAGGGGCACTCAACGACGATTTCCTCCTAAACTCGTTGAAAACACTTTTTAGGCTATCCAGAGTAGTTTTAGATGTCTAGAAATACATTATAAGCGGCGCGATAAAATTTGTATCTGTTCGGTCATCCAAGGGGACTTTTCGAAATTTCAAAGGGTTTCAGTATAATTTTCCCGAAAATTTTAGATGCTATTTATCGCTTTACGAAAGTGAGAATTTTTCTGATTCCTATCTCAATCACATTTTTAAATCCGAAAATTTTAGGTTTCCTTTTTCTACGAAAAAACAAAGTGAAATGTGAAAAATGAAGCTTCAGAAAATCGCAGGGAATTTATGAGATAAGTTTCGAAAATTGTACTTGAATGGAACGGTCATCTAGACATATTTAGCAGTCCTCAAGCACTAGAAATTATAGCCAATAATTGCTTCTCCGAACAGATATTTTACAGAAAATAGTCGTTGGCTGCCTATGTGTAAAATCTGTCACCGGATTAAAAGTCTGTCTTGATCATATTTAGCATGATCGTTGACGAGAGAGTATGAGAGAAAAACACTTCTGATCAGTCAATGCGGCAATTTATCAATAAAACGTACTGAAGCATGATTTCTATAAAAAGAATTTGGCAATATTTATATTTTATTTGTCGGCTTACCCAGTCACTGATGAGTAACAGAAACATATGTTTGCAGTCCCTGAACGACTCCATGAAACATGCAAAACTGATGGCATCCTTTATCGAAAAAGCCGAATGAATGGGATGTTCAGTATCAAAGGTTTGTATTGGTCGTGAAAAACAAATACCATGCAAGTACTGAGTATTTTACTCGGTGAATTAATTACTGAGAATTTTTTCTTGTTTTGATTATTATGACCGCAGACGATAAATATGCCATCTTCTGTTGTTGTTTTTTTTCACTTTTTTTTAGTAGAAGGCAAGTGTCATTGGTATTATAAAAATACAATTCTGTGTAATCAAATGTTTTGCTCCTTGTGATATACTTAGAAACTTCACTAGGTGACCTCAACAGGTCCGATCATTAGCAAATATTAGGGACTTTAAGGAAAGACTACGGACCTTTCTAGACGGTGGCCGGAAGTAATTTTTTTTCACCCTTCGTCAACAGATGCTACGACGGCTAAAGCGGTGAGAACGTCTGTTAAAAGTGTATTCGCTTTTTTTAGTTCTTTATCGCGATTGTTCCAAGTCGCTTACTTTGTCAAATGTTTGCGAACGGTTGAAGCCGTGCAGTGAGCCTCCACGGCAAGGAAATGTAAAAAACAAAAAAAAAATTAATAAAAAAGGGCGATTCATGGGCAAACTCAGGGCTGCCTTGCGGCGTTTTATCAGTCTTATTCACACCACGTGGTGCGATGATATCCGTTGTGAAATCCTCTTTCCCGTCAACTGTATTTTGCGTATATATTTGGATGTATTTTTCACTTAATGGGTGTCGTGCTTGACACCGAAATTTGAGGCTCATGATCGAAAAATGAACCGTCGATTCAGAAATTTCCAAGGATGACCAAAAAAGGATAAAATGCGTGTATCTTGCGATTCTGTTTCAAATATACACTGGCGTTCTGAGGACGTAAAATAGAACTGAATACTTAACGTAGTAGACACTACGGCCCGCCATGATCTTCTACGTATTCAGGAAGCGCAGTACGGCCAGTCAATAAATTTAATTTTAAAAAGCGACGTTTTGACCGCTACAGCCGTCGTGGTGCTTTGAACTTGAGGCGTTGACGCGTGGCGGGAAAAAAATACTTCCGGTCACCGTACTAGACCCTTCCGTAGATGTTGCTTAAAAGTCCCTATTTTGATGTACAACAAGTGTAATTATGTGGTTTTTTATATGAGCCCAGTCGACCGCGTTGGTGTTTATTTCCAAGGTTTCACCTCACCACAATTGTCTTGTACTAGTGCAAATTAGTTTGATCTCTTCATGTTATTAGGCAATGGGATGTACAGTAATGGGCCTCAAAGGTCCCACGCGGGGCCCCTCCCTAACGGCCTGTTTACAGGGAGGTGGGGGACCTCAGATAATCATGTAAACGTGATCAAATTAAAATGAGAGATTATATGGACAGGCGGGTTACCTCACCTACCCGGGGTCCCCCACCTCCATTTAGACAGGCCCTTAAGTTAGTTTGCCCACAATCCCATGACAGATGTACACTAGGGCTGGTAATAAACTGAAAGAAAACGTTACGTTCCTAGAGAGTCAATTCGAGGAAAGGGTGGGTAATGGGTATTACAGTCTCCCTCCAAAAATCGAAGACAATTGTTATGCAAAATTTTGGGGGGTATACAAGGTGCATTATAGTCTATGTGAAAACGGGTGAATAGACCATTTCCGAGTTGCCTAAGTCTCTGCTTCAAAGCCAGGCTAAGTGCATATCTATATGAAATGATTTTTAATTGTCTTGCAAAAAAAACTTATTTTCACAAGAAAGGTTTCGCCAGGAGTAAGCCTCATTTTGAAAGTGAGAATTTTTGGAATTTAGCTACGGCCTATTACATATCCTTTACGAATGGCATATATTTAATATCCTTAAGGGTGAGCGCTTACTGGAAAACCTTAAGGGTGGGCACCTATTTTATAAAGGATGGGCACTTAGAAAAAAACCTTTAGCAGGAACCCATCAAATGGAGCCTCCATCTCCCATACAAGCCCTTGGAGTCAACCCTTTCCCGAGTAGATTTATAATTAGAACGGTTCCTAGGGGAGACTTCGCGCGCCGACGGTGGGAAGAGCCAATCACAACCACGAAATGACACTGCTATTGTACTTAATCAAACAGCAGGAAATTCGGTGTTGACAGGCCAAACACAATCATGAGCTAGTGAAACGTGACTTAAGCGTTTTCATCCCTCAGAGATTTTCCTTTTTTTCTTTCTAGCGTGTAGATTATACTGTGGAAAGTTTTAAACTCTGACTATGTTAATCTTAATTTTGGTTGCTTGTGTAACATTAAGAGGCCATGAAGGTGGTCTATCACATGCATAATGTTCTGACAGGATTCGTTTTCTTTAGCCAATTTTTTTGAGCGTCAAGGTTCTTATTTCGGCTAAATGACTCAATATTAATCAAATTTCTAGTTTTTCAAGGTTTTTTTTCCGAAATGCGTTTATCTGAATAAATACTTGTAGTCCTTGTGTTTGTTTTGTCCGTCAGCTAGTGTGATGATTCCCTGGTATGTTTTGTAACGCCGGGCCCAGCCATTGTTTTCTCGCAAAAAAGTGATCTACAGATGCGAATTCGAAGGAAGGAATTGAGCCTAAACTTCTACATTAACTGCTGAAAATTGTCCTGTTAGTCAGTCATAATTCTTTTGGCGCAGATACAATCCATTTTGCTTTTCTTGAGATAAGTGGGTCTTTGGACTGGAGCGCGATGTCACAAATTCCTCCGTTAGCAAATTACGGTTGAGTTAACTTCACGGTCGAGCAACTGTTGTCTTCTGATCAAATTTTCAAGCGCTAGTTTTATCAGGCAACTCTCATGGTGGTACAAGTCAGTTGTAAAGGAAGACTGCAATTTCTCAAATTTCGGAACTGAAGCATTCCTCGTTACTTGCTACTTAGGTCATCGCTTTTGCACGCGGTGCTTAACTGGCGAAATCCACTCCTCGGTGATGACAAAAATCATATGATCCTGGCACTTTTTCGTCGCTGATCATCGAAAAGTTTCAAATCGTCCACAGAACGTTTAATCGTCGACTCTTTTCAAGGTGCATGCTTAAATGTGGAATGTATGACGGCAAAAAAAAAACACTCGCAAAGATAACCTTTCCGTGATCCTCAGTTCGCTGCCTTTGTCACATCGCTTCATGCTCAGTCTCAGTCGGGTAATTCATTAACTTTTATTTCATGATACCCAGATCCCAGCGGCTGTAAAATTGTAAAAACGGACGTAAAGAAATAAAGGAAAACGGTCGAAAGACGGGCTTCTGAGTTCGACTTCATCCAATTTTATTTTCTCACGGTGACATACGAGACTCACAGAAATATGACACTTTTCGCGGGAAACTAGCCGTTCTATTTATAAATCTACTCGGGAAAGGGTTGACTCAAGAAATTAATGGAGATGGAGGCTCCATTTGATGGGCTCCTGCCTTTAGTTAATGTCTTGGGGGTGGCCACTTATTTAATAAACGTGATAACAGGCGCATATCTAATAACCTTAAACTGGATAGATGCTTATAAAAAAATGACATGTTCATACATCAGTAGTCACGTGCACAGTTTATTGTGGTTTCAAAGCTGAACTGCTTTACATGAAAATGTTATTAGAGCCCTTAATTACGTCATTAATAATCACGTGACGCTTTTCAACTTGTTACTGAGACCGAGGAACTTCTTCAATGATCAAACGGGACACTGAAATCCAGCCTGTGTTGCCATCGGAGTTTCCATATCCTGCACAATTTCCAATATTGATTCCAACTCGGATTTTGCCCTTGTGTATGTTGTTACAGTAGCCCTCAATGAACCCGGGTCTGTGGTTGTCTTCGTCTTTATTTCGGATCCACAGCACTGCGTCAATAGGCAGGGGACCACTGCACTCGGCTCCATTGAAAGTGATGAACCATCGCTTACAGCAGCCGCCACATCCTCCCAAATACAGGTTTCCCTGGTAAACAACACGAAGAGCTGTGTCATCCTTGGTTTTAGTGAAGTGACAATCCTGCAACAACAAATTAGTTCTGAACAATTATTTTCAGAGAAATTGTCATTATCAGGAGGGCATTATACACCCTACATTTCGTTATACTAGGCGAATATACCACTGCATGGACATCGTTCAACAATAACTAAAAAGGCAGGCGAAGCACAGTGGCTGGGATGATATTTTTATATGACGAGTATTTATTATGCTAACTGAACTATAGCTTTGATCACAGATAAATTAACAAGCCTTGATCAGTCCAATGTCACGAGTATCGTGACTCTTCCACGCGCACTGTTTCCAATTCCGGTGATCAGTGTCTGTTCCACTTGGTCCCATTTCTCCCTTCATACCACGTGATCCAGGGGGACCTGCCACGCCCTTTTCACCTTTAGCTCCATCTCGGCCATCGCGGCCTGGTAACCCGTTATGTCCATTGACTCCGTTACGTCCGGGGAGGCCAGGGGATCCTTGGAAGCACGAGTTTGAGTTCTGTGTTAAATAAATTTCAAAAATAACAGTATACTCACTTGCACCTTGCACTTTTGAGCAAAATTTGGGTTCAGGTCAGTAATAAATGATTGACATTAAGCATAAACGAAGCTTAGCCAATCATCTGCCTTTTTTAGATTCTTAGAGTCATCATTCTCTCTTGTTCTCTCTCGGAGAAGGGACGCTAAACAAGAGATGTGCGTTTTGTAATAAATCCTTTCGTGGACTGACTTGATTGACCCAATGTCGTCCTTTGAGCGGAAGACAGGAGTGCCATTTATAATTTGCAAGCTGTGTTTTCAAACTCTCTTTTAAAAATATACATTTAAGAATATAATCTCGACACGAAGCTGTAATCTCAAAAGTATTTCAAAGTTGAAATTTTCGTTTTCACTTACGCCGATGCATGGAAAAATGTAGCCGCTACTTTTTGTAAGCCTTTATTACTAACAGACTCAACAACTTAAACCGTCTTTCAATCAGATTCGTTCTTCGCTCTTTTTTGCATAGTTTAAGAAAAGTCAATTCTGTGTGCTGATTTATCTTACCTTAGCGAAAGCGGTGGACGACACCGACAGAAAGAGTAGACACCAAACAAATAGATTTCCTTCTTTCATTTTGAGGGTACAAGAAAAACGCAAAACAAGCTACGAACTGAGGAAAGCGTGCGTTGAACTCCAACTGCACAAGACTTGTGGTGTTCTGTTTTGTGTGAAGTTAGAGACGAAGGATAAAAGTTCACTTTTTGAATTAATTGTAACGAAATTTTTCTTGTTGTGTGAGCACAATGGCATGTGCTGACCGGCTGCCACGTTTACTGACCTTGAACAACTTAGTGCAATAACATCGAGCAGGAAGATAAGTATGTGCGATCACGATTATTAAACGTTCAAGTATGAAAAAATCTTTGCTCGATAAATCTCGATTAAAGCCAGGTGAGCAAATTAGTGAACTTAAAATAAATGTTCGTATTACACGAAATTCAAGTTCTTGAGCAGGTTTTGTCTCTTTGTCACCAGAATAAAATTGATAATAAACGTTTAAATTTGAGCAAGGACTTACTTTAGACAATTCATTAAGGTAAACCCAAATTTTCCAACATTTGATTTTGTTATGGTGTTTTAGGGAGCTTTCTTTACTTATAAAAGCCGTGACAGTATAATTTTGCTATTGTACTTCAAACAGCGCCATTTCACTATCTAATATACTTAAAAAAGAGGCCCTGTATATTATTATTTGCGATGTATCGCAGATCCTTATTGCTTCATGGCTTTGAAGCTTCCGTTCAGGCAAACTAAAAAACCAGACGAGCATTCTTACAACTTTAGACTGTTGTAATACTGGCAGAGTTGCTAAAAGTGCGGCTGAATGAGTGACCAGCGGGGGATTACCAAAAGGTAAAACAATTTTTTCCTCTTTCAACCTTAAGTTATTTCAGTATTGATAAGTTTAGCTTTTCCTGAGCGCAGAAAGTGAAATCTAGCTCCCAAATAGAGTTTTCGTCATGAAATGGTTACAATCATGTTTTCTCAAAAAGGTAATTAAAACTGGCCGAAAGTGAACTTTATTTTTTCTTATCGTTGATTTGGGCAATAATCTTTCTTTGTGGATCAATTTCCGAGGCCTCAAGTCACGGATGCTTGCGCCAAGCATGTAAATTGCGGACTGCAAAGCACACGCTAAATAATCTTCAACATCGTGGTCCTGTTTCTCAGCGGTTTGATCTATTCAAAGGAATGTTGCTTCTGGGGAAATTGTTAATAATCGAAGCAACACAAACAGAAGATAGTAAGCCTGTTGTCGTTATTGCACAGAATGACCATTGAAGAGCAAATACATCACCTCATTCTCCAAGAGCTCTAAGGAACCATTAGGTATTAATTATAAATAGATTTTGAGCGATTTTTCCTCATCAGTTCATGTCTCTTTTCTATCGTAATATATAAGCAGCTTGTTGTATATGTTACAGATCAAAATAAAAATCAGGTTTAAATTGTTTAACCTAGGTTGTTTCTCAATTTCTTTGTCTCCTGACAAAAGAAATTGAGGATCAACCTAGGCAAAAAAATTTTAACCTGATTTTAATTTTGACCTGTAACATATAAACTGAGTATGGTAATTTTTATCAAGACCCATGCCTCTACCAGAAGAATTCTGGTGATAACAAAAACATCTTTTAAGTTTTCAGTTAGATTCGATCCTAGACACCCTGCTCATTGTATAATATTTAGCACCTCAAATTCTGTCTTGGAATTATCGACGACATACTTGAAAACGAGCAAATCAGTGCATAAATTTTAAACGGACGCTGAATCTTTCAAGAGCAGTTTCAAATCATCATACTCCACTCTCTGGACAACAGCTGTTGAATTGAGGGGTACTAGTAGCCTATGAATCGATTCCTTAATTTTCTTAAGTTCAGTTTTCGAGCTGTACGCGCTTATTAACACTCATGATTTTGGCACTATAGGAATTAACGAAGGCGGCTCCCGTTGTGGAAGTTGTGACTCAAACGCGATGTTTCTTCTATGAAATGTGTCGATTAAGTCTAGCTGTCTCGATGATATCAGCACGTCATTTGTTGGAGGGAAAGTGAGCAGGAAAGCATTCCTGTCAGTACAATTTATCAATACACCGTACTGAAGCATGATTTGAATACACATGCAGGATTGATCTTACTACACTCGTCTGTAATCGAACTATTAATCACAGTGTCGATTGTTGACTTACCTCAGTGAAGAGTAACTACAGCGGTTACAAATAATGTTCGCAGTTCGTGAAAGCCTCCATGAAACATGAAATAGATAGCCTTCAGTTATCGCGAAAAAATGAAATGGATAGAAAACTGAGTTAAAAAGGATTTTTTTGGTCAACTGAACCACGATGAAAAACAAAGGCCAAGTAGCATTTCGGTGAATTAATTACTGCGAATTTTTTCTTGTTTGTGATCATAACCAGACGATAAATCTGCCATATTTTGACTTTGTTCGCTTTGTTTAGTAGAAGTGTCAATGATATTATAGAAATACAATAGACTGTGTAATTAAATGTTTTGCACCGTGAGATGTACTAAACGATATTCACGGAAGTGACCTCAACTCGTCATGAGCAAATATTTTGATGGACAACAAGTGTAAGTAAGGCATAGTCATATGCGCCCAGTCGAGAGAATTGCTGTTTATTTTGCTAGCCTAAGAACAGGCTCTCTCATTGGGGAAAGGGTGAAAAAATCGCCGGGCAATAGAAAGGGGAAGAGCCTGTAGTGTAGCACGCGGTTTGGATAATCGCTTGTAAGCAGGTCTTCTGATCTTTAACACGTGTCACGACCGTCGCTGTTCTTCCACGCGCACTGTTTCCAGTTTCTGTGATCAGTGGCTGTTCCACTTGGTCCCATTTCTCCTTTCTCACGGCCTGGTCCAGGGGGACCTACCACGCAGTTTTCACCTTTAGCACCGTCTTGGCCGTCGCGGCCAGCTAACCCGTTATGTCCATTGACTCCGTTACGTCCAGGGAGGCCAGGCGATCCTTAAAAGCACATGTTTGAGTTCTGTGTCAGAAGAGTTTAAAGAAATCAGAGGAGAAAACACTCAGTTGCGCGCTTGGCATTTACAGCTATTTCGAGAAAGGTTGTCGGAAAAAATGTGCCTGCGACAATCCCGAAAGGTAGTGTGGGTGGTTTTGAGATCACTGTTCTTTAGAGAAATTTTAAAAGAATGGCACGAGAGGCTATGGACGTATGTTTGCGAGTGCTAAAGCGAAGCAGCAAAAGTAGGTACAGTGTCAGAAACAGTGTATTGATCGTATCCCAAACTACCTCTCGGGATTGTCACGTGCACTTTTTTTTCGACAACCTTTCTCGATGGGATATGATTGGTCAATACGCTGTTCCTGACACTGTAGCTGTCGAATCTTCTATGTTGCTTTCCTTTAGCACTCTTAAACACATGTCCATGGCCTCTCGTGCCATTCTTTCAAATTTCTTTGAAGAACAGTGAACTCAAAACCACTCACAATACCTTTCGGGATTGTGGCGTGCACTTTTCCGACAACCTTTCTCGAAATAGCTGTATACCTAACCTACGCAGCATTCAGAGCCCATGCAGTGCTAACTTCTTTGACAGACATTCTTGCACTCCTTGAACAAAGTTTGGCGTCTTCTAGTCTTGTGTTCCTAGTAGGAGAGGCCGCCCGAGGTAGGTTTTCCTGCAGTATCAGTTCAACAAACAATTAATTCTGATTTACTCTAAGTCTACTAAAGATTGGATTTTTCTTGCAGGAAAGCTTTATAGGTTTCGATAAAATTTAATTCTAGTAAAAAAACTTTATATCACTTTAATTTAAAGAAACCGTCTCTTATTAGACTTTTGCTCACTTTTCTATCTGCAGCTGGCTGCAATATTTCTCGAGGCGTGGTATTATCTAGTGCACTTTAAGTGATTCACCACCGTTCGCATTATTAAGGCATTTTAGTCATCCGTGTATAACAAAACATACACAAACCTTTCCTTGCTTTAGTTGCAGTTATACCTAGACAAGGAAATTGAAGAGAACCTGCATCTCGATCAATGATCTACCCGGACTCCGGTTTCCACCTAGGGCTCACCGAATAAGCCATTTTCTGGGCTGTGTTAGCTCTCATAAAAGTGCACAGGAATACATAATTATCAACGACTTTATGTCTAGAAATCTCTTTCCTCATGTTATATTTTTTTGTTGTGGCTGGTTTCAACAGTTTCACATGTACGAGTTATTTAGATCAACGATGACTGAATTTAAGAAAAATGTTAACTTTTCGTTTGGTTTTCCATAAGCTGCTTGGTTGGTTATCGATCGTAAATCGGTGTATGTGACAAAAATCAATAAAAATCAATTATTTGGAGACCCTAGCCGTTTGTTTCTTTGTGTTTTTTTTCTTTCGAAAAAAGACGATTATGGCATTTAAGGCATAAACGAAGGGAACGGTTTCTGGGGAATGCCTATTAGGACTGAGATTGGTCCAGTTACCTAAAATTGATTTTCCGTATTTTGATTGAAGGCATGCCTTTTGGGATCAGATTGTAAGGTTTTAAATAGTGCAGTGAATATATAAATAGTAGCCGCTTTTTAAGAAATTTATTTCTTTTGAATCGCTCTGAATGAAAGCTTTAAAATTATGATATTGTCGCCATTGTCATCAAACGATTAACAACTTTCGCTTAGAACTGACGGAAAAGTTGCGTTTCAATACCTTCCTCCCCAGACTCAGCTTGTTAACGCAAGCAAGAACCATGATGTGCGCAAGATTTCAAAAATTCCATCGCGATAAAAAAAACACAACACACAACACAATATCGACGTTTTGATGTTTATTTAACATGAAAAGGCATCTTCATACCTTCATAGTCACATGCTTGATAATTAAGGGTTTGAAACTGACCTGGTTGACATGAAATGTCATTAAAAAAGGCACCTTATTTTTATCCCTTTTCCTCTTAATATTACTTTAGTAACTAATGCGCAACAAAGTTTAAGCGACATGAAAAAAACACGTGATGGTCTCCAACTTGCGACTGGGACGGAAGAACTTCTTCAATGATCAAACGAGACACTGAATTCCAGCCTGTTTGACCATTGGATTTCCCATACCCTGCACAATTTCCAATGTTGATTCCAACTCGGATTTTGCCCTTGTGTATGTTTTTACAGTAGCCCTCGATAAACCCGGGTCTGTGGTTGTTTTCCCCAGTATTTACGATCCACAGTACTGCGTCAATAGGCAGGGGACCACTGCACTCGGCGCCGTTAAAAGTGATAAACCATCGCTTGCAGCAGCCGCCACACCCTGACAAATAGAGTTTCTCTGGTAAACAACACGGAGAGCAGTGTCATCCTTGGTTTTATTGAAGGAACAATCCTGCAACAAAACATCAAACCCCCATTATTGGTTTTCTTGTTTACTTAAACGACCTTTTTCATCCCGTAAGGATACCAGTGGACAAGAATATACCATCCTTTGTAAATGCACATTCTTAGTGTCTAACAAAACCAAAGTTGACTGGAGCCGTTGATGGCGCTAATTTTAAAATCATCTTACCTTGATCAGTCCAATATCACTGGCGTCGTCGCTCTTCCACGCGCATTGTTTCCAGTTCCTGTGATCAGTGTCTGTTCCACTTGGTCCCATTTCTCCCTTCTCACCACGTGATCCAGGGGGACCTGCCACGCCCTTCTAACCTTTAGCTCCATCTCGTCCGTCGCGGCCTGGTAACCCATTATCCCCATTGACTCCTTTTCGTCCGGGGAGGCCAGGTGAACCTTGTAAACAGGTTCTAGAGTTCTGTTCACATCAGTTTTAAGAAAGGAATTAGAAATTAAAAAAAGTATACCATTTTAGTCAAACTATACTGAATCCGCTTTCTTAGGAAGTGCTATCACTTTTATACTTTTGCCCTGAATGATCCCGAAAAAGTAAAAAAAAACTGAGATGTGCACACATTTAAGGCATCCTACTGATGAAAAGTTAAGACTTTTTGATATTTCGAGCAACAATAACTTGCCAGTTGTCCCCTTAAAACACATAACCGATCATGAGCCTTATTTACATTGTTGTCGAGGTTATCATGGTCCTGCAATCGAATCACTCCAAGGTTTCATCTTCAATAAACCCCTTCGTGGAGGGTAGTGATAGTGGATCGTGAGAATATCGTGCTTTGCGCGCGTAGCACTAGCGTTCGCCAATCTATTCATGATCAAGCGAAAAATTACAGCGGAAGACTTATCTTTATCTCTATCTACGTATGTTAGAACATGAAAAAATTAAAGTGGGGCAAACGTTCGTGGTTAATCTGATAAATAAACAATGATTCAAATCATATCTAAAAAAAGGAAAGAAGCACTGTTTCTTTCGACTCCATACAACTCATGTTCTCTATACTGCGCTGAAACAGTGGGAAATTTGTACAGTTTAATGCAAATGTATAATTCAGTCGAATTTTTCTCAATTACTATTTTACTAGTCCCACTGAGTCAATCTTACCTTGGCGATAGAGGATGTGTTATCAGTTGATCACTTGGAAGATATCAACAGATAGAATAGAAAGCATCCCACATCACCTCTTACTTCCATTTGGAGGTTACAAGAGAGACGAATTGAAAGAGAAGTGGAAACTGGGAAAACAGACCTCAAACTCTAACAAAAGTCTTGGGGTTCTGTCTTGAGTGCTGTACAGTACCGCAAATGATCCCCAACCGCAAATGATCCCGAGACCGCAAATGATCCCCAAAATGGACCGCAAATGATCCTCGACCGCAAGTGATCCCCAAAGTTGACCGCAAATGATCCCGTGAAAACTTGAGGAATGGAATGGATTTTATGGGACTGATTACAAAAAAGGACTGATTATAAAAAAAGGAACCTTTTTCTCGCACCTTCTAAAGAAAAAGGGAAGGAGGACGCTACATCTCAGGTCAATTTATACAAGGCGAAAAAAAAAAGTAGAATAAATCTGAAGAGGATATGGTATCAACCGTATACTTCTTCCTTTGACAATTGCTTCAATTTTCTTTCAAGAACTGTTTCGTCGCTGAAAATTTAAGACAGGCAGGACGTTACGCAGAAAAAACTCTATTATTTTAACGCCCAAGCTCAACTTGTCTACTGAGGAATACAAAGCTGGGCACCCTCTACATAACAAGAGCTTTATTGACTTTACTGATCTTTTTAGAAGCGTCGAATTAATTTTCAGAATATTTAGTTTTGATTTTTCTCTGAAGTGTTAATTTTACGTGATAAACAGCAAGACATTGGTTCGTAACTTATGAGTGCCCCAGGCCTGGGAGTGCCCGTTAAAAAACAAGACGTGATTTGAAATAAACACACGTCAAAATGCCACCGAACTTATCAATGTCCACAGTTTTCGGTTAATTTTGAAAGAGAAACTTGCCTACAGCTCATGAACATGTTGCGAATAGTTATATTGACGCTTATATGTATATCCATTTTTTTGCCTTTGCTGTAGACAGTTACCAGGAATCTAAACCTGGTAATGAGAAACGCAAAAGCGAGGCAAGCGGTAGTTATCGTGTGACAAAACATCGTAGGAACCGTCACATTCACGGACTAAAAGAAAGTCGCTTATAATTGTTCGGATCCATGAGGCACTTTAAAGAAAATTAAACAACCTAAAACCCTTATTTAGCCGGAACGAGACGCATTGCATTTCAAAAGAGGTGAAAGAAATGCTCTTGCATTAAAGGACAAATCCAGCAAATCATGCCGACCACAAACAACAATAACCGCAGAAAATGCGTGTCATGACCTCTCAGTATGAAATAAGCGGCAAAAATCACATTTGCTCAGTCAAAACGTTTTCCTTCAGGTATAATCTACCCGCCAGATAAAAAAATTCATTAGAACAAGCAGCATTTTGGCATGAGCTAAAAGTCGTGTGTTGCCTACCGACTTCGTTTTACACTTGAATGATTTTTTTCATTTAGTTTTTATTCATGTATATACGTATTTATTTAAGAACTGAAATTTAGCGTTTAATCTCACTTTTTGTATTAATAATAAAATCGTCACGACGATCCGCTAACTCGAGTCTAAGCCATTCCTATTTTTCTTTCGGGATCATTTGCGGTCGACTTTGGGGATCACTTGCGGTCGAGGATCATTTGCGGTCCATTTTGGGGATCATTTGCGGTCTCGGGATCATTTGCGGTTGGGGATCATTTGCGGTACTGTACAGTGCAGTGGAAGATGAGAACATAAATTCAATGTTTGTATCGATCGATTTCAACGAAAGCTACGTTTTGTGAAGAGAAACACGTACGGTAACTTGATTACTGCTTAATCTCTTAATCTTCCTTTAACCGAGGTGGAAGAGGCCGAGTTATTATAACACCATGCGCATGGCTCAAAAGTTTGACTTAAGCTGAGCTGACGCACGTTGATAGCCAACGCACGTTTTCAGGAAAGAGAATGATGGATTACTGACTAAAAGGCTAAAGTTAACATCTAGCATTTTTTTGGTCGACTTATTCAGTAATCTACTAAGACATCATCCACCAAAAGAGCGGAAGAACTGTGTTTTTATTGACAACAGTGTTTAATTTTGGGTATTTTGATTGTTTTTGTTGGCGATAAAACCTTACACGCAATATTCCAACCATTTTTTACATGTCTAGCGAATCAGGTGTTGGTTAACTAGCTCGTAGTTTAACGTGATTTGTTGCCTACGTGCACGTGGAAGGCGTTAGGAGGGAAGGGAACTGTGGGAATTGATGCGCGCAGGTACATAAAGAGCGTCCCTTTTCCTCGGGCGTCTTTCTTCTCATTTCCCCCTTCAGAAGCCTCGCAGTTTACGTGATCAGGACATCGAGCAGTTGGAGAGAATAAGAACTCCTGTTATTATTGAAAATAGTGTGTGCCTTATCTCGTACTCAGGTCTCACTCTGTCTTATGCTGAAAGACCCGGGTATGAGATTAGTTTTCGCCTTTTTTACAAATTAAAATGGGAAAATAGCCCCTTAACGAATTTCAGTTGGTGGAAAAATGGGCAGAAATCATATATCAATGCAATTCATCAATACCCTGCACTGCGCGATTAGATGAACCAGGATTGTTAATACAACACATTCGTTATAAATAATGGAAATCAATTACAAGGCCGATTGAAGAGTATATTGAAGACCGTTCCTGTACTTCTCCAGAAACCATGTGAAATTAGTAGCCTCAGTTATCGAGAAAGAGTGGGGAGTTAAAAAAAAAAAAAAAACTAAAGGCTTGCTTTCGGGTAACCAACTTTGAAGAAAAAGAAAGGTCAAGTTACAGTTTTTAAAATAATTACTATGAAATTTTCCTGGTATTTAGTCATGACCAGACGATCCTTCACGATAAATTAAATACGCAGTGTTTTAATTTTTTTCGCTTTGTTTAGTAAAAGGCAAGTACGAGTTCAGTCGACCGGTTTGCAGTTTATGTCCAAGGCCTTATCTCGTAACCTTTTCGCTGTATCTCGGGAAGTTTATATATACATTTATACGCGTGCTCTGATTGGCTGAGAGGCGTGTTTGCATGAGAGTCAGTCGCGGGTTTGCATCACCCTTTTGGTGTTTATATCAGGCTATGCGATCACGCATAACTTGAACCATTAACCGATTGAATGCTAATTATGTTTCTCATGCAAGGTAATCCTCTATGCCCTTGCCTACAACCCCATGACACTTACTATACACTAGGTCGAGCAACTGACAGAGCTTGCTGCATCCCTCGGGGTTCTTTAACGTACCACAAGAGTCATAGTTCTCAAGAGTCAAGTTCTGTGAGAAGGAGCGTGGTTAAAGAAGGGCGCATATTTAATAACCTTAAGGATGGGTACATATTTGATCACCCTGAGGATGGATGGAGCTTAATCTTGAGGATGGCTGGATCTGCAAAAATAACAGTTTCATTCACCAGTAGTCACGTGCTGAGTTTATTGTGGCATTTAAACTGAACTGCTTTACATGCAAATGTCATAAAAGTCCTTAATTCTTAGTTTTTTTCCACTTTGAAATCATTTATCTGGAGAATCTTTAAGCGTCATACCTAATAATCACGTGACGGTTGCCAACTTGTTACTGGGACCGAGGGACTTCTTCAATGATCAAACGGGACACTGAAATACAGCCTGTGTTACCATCAGAATTTCCATATCCTGCACAATTTCCAATATTGATTCCAACTCGGATTTTGCCCTTGTGTATGTTGTTACAGTAGCCCTCAATGAACCCTGGTCTGTAGTTGTCTTCGTCTTTATTTCGGATCCAC